TTCAACTTTGTTCTTCTTTATCAAGATTAGTGTTGCTATTCTGGGTCTTTTGTGGTTCCATATATATTTTTGGAATGTTTGTTCTAGTTCTGTGAAATACTATCTTGATAGGGATTGCATTGAATCTATAAATTGCTTTGGCTAGCATGGACATTTTTATGATGTTAATTATTCCTATCCATGAACACTACATATGCTTCCTATGCTTTCACTTATTTGTATCTTCTTCAATGCCTTATAATTTTCTAAGTATAGGTCTTTTACATCTTTGGTTAAATTTATTCCTAGATATTTTATTGTTTTTAAAGCAATTGTGAATGGAATTGTTTTCTTAGTTTCCCTTTTTGATAGCTCATTATTGATATATAAAAATGCAACTGATTTCTGGATATTTATTTTGTATTCTGCAACTTGACTGAACTCATTAATTAGTCCTAGTAGTTTTGTGTGTGAAATCTTTAGGGTTCACTACTACATAATCATGTTGTCTTCAAATAATGACAGTTTTACTTCTTCTTTTCCAATTTGGATGCCTTTTATTTCTTCTTCTTGCCTGATTGCTATGGCCAGAATTTCCAGTACTATGTTGAATAAGAGTGGTGTCTATTCAGGTGTTTTGCCCTTTTTTTAAATTGGATTGTTTGTTTTTTTGGTATTGATTTTTGTGAGTTTCTTTTAAATTGTAGATATTAACTCCTTCTCAGGAGTTATCATAAATGGGTTCTGGATTTTGTCAAATGCTTTTTCTGCATCTATTGATATGATCATATGGTGTATTATTTTTTTTACATTTAAAAAATATGTTTTTATTGATTTCAGAGAGAAAGGAGATGGAGAGAGATAGAAACATCAATGATGAGAGAGAATCATTGATCAGCTGCCTCCTGCACACCCTTTCCTGGGGATCAAGTCCACAACCCAGGCATGTGCCCTGACTGGGAATCAAACTGTGACGTCCCGGTTCATGGGTTGACACTCAACCAGTAAGCCACACCTGCCAGGCTAAGGTTTCATTTTTTAAATTGATTTTAGCCAGAGAGGGAGATGGGGAGAGAAAGAGAGAAAAACATTGATGTGAGAGAGAAACATCGATTATTTACTTCTTGTACATGCCCCAACTGGGGCTAGAACCCGGCAATCTGAGTATGGGCCAATCTGACTGGGAATCGAACCAGTGACCCTTCACTGCATGGGATGACTCTCAACCAACTGAGCCACATCAGCCAGGGCTCAAGGTATCTTTTAATTTCTTCATTGATCTCATTGTTAACCCATTCATTGTTTAGTAACATGTTATTTAGCCTCCATGTCTTTGTGGGTTTTTCAGGATTTTCCCCCCACAGTAATTGATTTCTAGTTTCATATCATTATGGTCAGAGAAAATTCTTGATATGATCTCAATCTTCTTAAATTTATTGAGGCTTGTTGTATGTTATAACATGTGATCTATCCTAAAAAATGTTCCATGTACACATGAAAAGAATGTATATTCTGATGCTTTGGGGTGAAATACTCTGAAGATATCAATTAAATTCATCTGATCTAGTGTGTCATTTGAGGCTGCCATTTCCTTATTGATTTTCTGTCTGGAAGATCTATCTATTGATGCCAATGGGGTGTTAAAATCTTCTACTATGACTATTGTATTACTTTGGATCTCTACCTTTATTTCCATCAAGATATACTTTACATTTTTAGGTACTCCTATGTTGGCTGCGAAATGTTTACAAGGATTATATCTTCTTGTTGAATTGCCACCTTTATCATTATGTAGTGTCCTTTTTTAAAAAACATATTTTTATTGACTTTTTTCAGAGAGAGAGGAAGGGGAAGGGAAATAGAAACTTCGATGAGAGAGAACATCAATTGGCTGCCTCTTGCATGCCTTTCACTGGGGATAGAGCCCACAACCCAAGTGTGTTCCCTTACCGGGAATTGAACTGGTGACCTGTTGGTAGGTCAATGCTCAACCACCAACCCACACTGGCTGGGCTGTTGTGTCTTCTTTGCCTTTGTTTTAAAATCTATTTTGTCAGATATAAGTATTGGTACCCCAGCTTTTTTTAAATTTCTATTTGCATGAAATATCTTTTTCCATCCCTTTACTTTTAGTCTGTGTGTATCTTTTTGTTCTGGAGTGAGTCTCTTGTAGACAGCATATATATGGGTCTTGTGTTCTTATCCACTTAGCTACCATATGTCTTTTGATTGAAACATTTAAGCATTTACATTTATTTTTTTTAAGCATTTACATTTAAAGTGATTGATAGGTACATATTTATTGCCATTTTATTCTTTAACAATATTCCTCTGTTTTTATTTTTGTAGTACTGGTTTGGTAGAAACAATTCCTTTAGCTTTTTCCCAGCTGTCTGGGAAGCTCTTTATTTTTCACTCAATTTTAAGTGATGGCCTTGCTGGGTAAAGTAGTCTTAGTTGTAGGTCTTTGCTTTTCCTCACTTTGAATATTTCATGCCAATCTCTTCTGGCCTGAAATGTTTCTGTTGAGAAATAAGCTGACAGTCTTATGGAAGCTCCCCTGTAGGTAACTAACTGTCTTTCTCTTTAAGCTTTTAAGATTCTTTCTTTGTCTTTAACCTTTGCCATTTTAATTATGATGAGGGCCTCATGGGTTCCTCTTGTTTGGGACTCTCTGCACTTCCTGAGCTTGTTGTCATTTTCCTTCACCACGTTAGAGAAGTTTTTGGTCATTATTTCTTCAAATAGGTTCTTGATCCTTTGCTCTCTCTCTTCTCCTTCTAGGACTCCTATGATGCAGATGTTGTTATGCTTGATGTTGTCCCAAAGGTCCCTTAGACTATCCTAATTTTTAAAAAATTATTTTCTCTTTATGCTGCTCTGATTGGTGTGTTTTTTCTACCTTGTCTTCCAAATCACTGATTCAGTGCTCTGCTTCACCCAACCTACTGTTTATTCCTTTCAGTGTATTCTTCATTTCAGTATTGTATTCTTCATTTCTGGCTGGTCCTTTTTTTGGTGGTTTCTCGGCCATTTTTTATGCTGTTGGGCATCCTTATAGCCATTACTTCGAACTCTATATCTGATAAATTGCTCACCTCCATTTTATTTAGCTCTTTTCCTGGAGATTTCTCCTATTCTTTCATTTGGGGCCTGTTTCTTTGTCTCCCCATTTCAGCTGACTCTTTGTGTTTGTGTCTATATATTAGGTAGATCTGCTCTGACTCCCCGTCTTCATGGGGTGGCCTTATGTAGTAGGTGTCCTGTGAGGTCCAGTGGTGCTGTCTCCTTGATCACCTGAGCTGGGTGCTCCGGGAATGTCCCTTGTGTGTGCTATGTGGACCTTCCTGTTGTAATTTAGTCTTGATTCCTATTGGGCCATTCATGTGTAGGATTGACCCTATGGCTGGCTGACTGGGAGACTCAACCTGGACCATAGCAGCTGACCACATGAAGCAGAATTCACCTCACTAGGGCTTGCTGCCTGCCAAGATACCCCTTTGGATATGCTGCTCTGATGTTGTCTGAAGGTGGCCACTGGGTGTGTTGATTCTGAGCCTCTTGTGAGAGACTCTGGTGCAGGCCAATATAAGATGCTGCCTGTGACTGGCTCTCAGCAACCTGTTGGAGCCACAAGCAAGCCACAATTTGTGGCTACCTCTGCTGGGTGTGCACAGGAAGGACCAAGCTGCACACCAAGGCTGGCTTTTAGCAGCACCAGGTTCAGGGGCAGGTCAGCAAAAGTCCTAAGGCACCCCAAGTTCTGTCTCTGCCTACCTCCACCTGCTAGCTGCCTGTCAGGCTCAGTCACTGAGAGAACCTCTGGCTGTACTCCTCAGCAGGCTGTAAGCTCCACAATGTGGACTGAGAGGGACTCCAGAGGGTGGGGCTATTGCTTTCCCCCAGGGCGATGCCACACAGAGGGGAGTGCTCCACTCGAGAAAGATGGCATTGTGGTGTGGGAGAATGACCCAGCACGGGGATCCTGGCAGCTAGCCCTTCAGCTCCTCCCCAGAGCCTCAAACCCCAGTCTCTGCTCATGTGATTCTAGTCTGCTTCACCCCCCTCTGCTGGAGCCCTGGGTGAGTGGCAGTCAGTCTCCATGTAACTTCTTCTGTAATCCTTGGTTACAAGACTTCTCTCCAGCTAGTCTTCAGTTGGTTGCTCAGGATGATTATTTTATAATTTAGTTGTAATTCCAGTTTGGTCCTGGGATGAGGTGAGTGTAGTTTCCACCTATTCTACCACCATAGCACATCCCTCCTTCAGCTCCTCCCCAGAGCCTCAAACCCCAGTCTCTCCTCATGCGATTCTAGTCTGCTTCACCTCCCTCTGCTGGAGCCCTGGGTGAGTGGCAGTCAGGCTCCATGTAACTTCTTCTGTAATCCTTGGTTAAAGACTTCTCTCCAGCTAGTCTTCAGTTGGTTGTTCAGGATGATTATGCTATAGTTTAGTTGTAATTCCAGTTTGGTCCTGGGACGAGGTGAGTGTAGCTTCTACCTAGTCTACCACCATATCACATCCCCCCTCATTCAGGATTTTTAAATTGCTCCTTCACCTTTCCTTTTTCCAGACCTCATCTGAGACTCCTTCTTTAGTCCACATTCTTCAGCCCTGAACACATTTCCTATCCTCGTCCTTCTCCTCTTTTCTTTAACATGTTTAAATTTGAACCATTCTTTGTGACTCTCTTTCCTGGGATAATCACTGTAAGAAGAGAAGAATGATGTATTGTGGGGAGATGACCCACCTCGCTGGACTTAGTAGTTCTTCTGTGAGTTAAATCATTTCCCCGATGAGCTCAGTTGATCTCTCCTGTCTATAATCACTCCAAGCCGAACTTTGCCCCTTGGCCAATATTGCATGCAGCTCATGGCTCTGCCCCTGCCACTCCCCCCTTTGCGAGGATCCCTTCCCCAGGAATTTCATCACTTCCTAGAACAGCCAAACTTTTTTGGTATATTTCTCTCAGTTAGTGTTTAACCAAACACCTATCTCTAAGGGGTGGGCTGAACTGACAGAGGAAATGTTAAAAACATGAGACTCAGGAGGACAATTTCTGCAGGGACTCCCTGGCTTCTGGAGGAGAGGGAGGTAGGGCAGTGGACAGGTGGCATAGGAGAGAGACACAATGGAATCTGGCTTCACCTCCAAGGACACCTATCTGAGCCATTTTAACCCTCGAGATTACCTAGAAAAATATTACAGCTTTGGGTCCACACAGTCTGCAGAAAACCAGATTCTTAGGCTTCTTCTGAAAAAGCTTTTCAATATATTCTGTGTGGGTAAGTTTGTCTGTTGTCTGTGTCTCCTATCTCCCCTCCCCACCCCAAAACGTGAGTCATATAGATAAGAGTCTCAGGGCATGACTGGAATTTTTGTCTAGTCATTGCTATTTAACAGCCCTTTTGGCATCACCTTCTTATGTAGCTAAGATAAAAACTAATGTTGGTGTGGATATTTTACAGTTTACAAAGTGCTTTTATATCCATTATCTTGTTGGGTCACACTAATGGGAAACCAGAAGACGGGAGTTCTGTCCTTGATTCTACATGGATTTGCTATGTGATTAGAGCCAGCCATTTAACTCTTGTGATTGATCACTTAAGAAATGGAGATTCTAATACTTACTCTGATCCTAACTCAATGGACTATTGTGAATATGCATGAGATAAAGACCTCCCAACATATGAAGAACTGGATGAAGACATTATATAAACTCAAATTTAAAAAAACAACAAAACTTTCCCCAAAAGGTATTCCTTAATAGTTTTGAGCAGCATGCCTCCACCCTAGATGAGGGAACAGAAAATGAAAGTCTGTTTTAAAAAAAAAAGACTTTGACAGAATAGTCATGATGATCTAAGTGGTGAGATGATCTAGGGAGTCTGTCTTTGGGGCCCTCCGTGGGGCTCTCCATCATAATGCTGGCAAAGGCAACGCAAGTCAGCTCTACCGCCACCATATAAGCCTAATTCCCCTTCCTCATTCCTTCCTCTCAACCAGCTGGCGTGAAGGGAGACCTCCTGATTGACATTGGCTCTGGCCCCACCATCTATCAGCTCCTCTCTGCTTGTGAATCCTTCAAGACGATCATTGCTACTGACTACACCGATCAGAACCTGCAGGAGCTAGAGAAGTGGCTGAAGAAGGAGCCAGGGGCTTTCGACTGGTCCCCGGTAGTGACCTATGTGTGTGAGCTCGAAGGGAACAGGTAGAGAAACTGGGCTCTGCTTCTGGGCTTTCTGAGGGGACTTGGGTGACAGTTTGTTTTTCAGAACCAAGAATTATCTTTAGAGTCCAAGTTGAAAAGCAAAGGAGAGAGAAATCCAAATGGAGAATGAGAGAGCAAGGATGAGGTGGGGATGGGTGTGTGTGTGTTGCGGGGGAGCGGGGGTGGCAGGGGGGAGAGGAGGAGGAGGTGTGCGCACGCACCAGAACACCGGTTGAGGGCTGAAGAGATATACACCGAGCCAAGAGGAATAGAGCTTTCCAGGCCGGTGTGTGGGCTCAGCGTCCTGGCCAGGTACCTTAGGACCTTGTTTTAGGACAACTTCAAGGGGCGAAACCAGCTCCTCACCAGAAGCTCTTGGGCGTCAGAACTGTCCCCCTAGTGCCATCCTGTTGCTAGCCACCCAAGCACACAGGATTCTGCTGTGAGGGTGGCTAACGCTGATACCCCCAAAAGCTGACTCTATTTTTAAACTGAGATTTGCAGCATAAAGGGATTATTTGAAAGGAACTTGTTACTTCACCATCCATAAAGTGCGAGCTTTACATACTCACAACTCATGACCAAAATCTGACAGCACCTTACCGACAGGTAAACTTAAGCCACAAATCTAGCTTAAATTGCTCCTTCTCCCCACACGAGAAACTGGCAATAGTCCACTAGGCAGAGGTGACAGTTCTGTGTTTCACTGCCTTGTGCTCCTGTCCTGATGTGCCTCCACTCTGCTGGCCAGCCATCTTCAGTCCTCAGAGCGCCATGTCTGCGGCTACGCATACTGCTGAGACCCCAACAACTCCTTTGCAAACTGCATAAAAATACCACTTTAGTATTTTTCCTAGGATCCTGCTGGCCCTGTCTGCTACTTGCTCAGTTTACTTACTGTTTTTTCCTGCTCTTGTGGTTGTTTTGTGTGTGTGTGTGTTTGGTGCATTCTTTCTGTCTTTCCCCAAGGATTTAATTTTTACATGAAATCTCTCTCTTCCTTCCTCAGTCCATTTTGCCCTGTATTCCCCCCTTTGCTCATATAATGCACACTTTGTGTGTCGCACCACATCCTCTGCCTTTCCTTTTCTTTCACAACGGGAAAGCATATATATATTTTTAATTCACATATCTCAAGATTTGGTCTAGAAAGAGCTCTAATTTCCTGGCAAGACAGGCCTCTCAAAAAACAAGTACTGACACTTTTACACATGATTAAAGAAGTTCCTTCCTTCCTTCCTTCCTTCCTTCCTTCCTTCCTTCCTTCCTTCCTTCCTTCCTTCCTTCCTTCCTTCCATAAATCTGTATTGATCACCTATGACGTGCTGCAGTGCTAGCTACTGGGATAGAATGGTAAATGAGATGGAGGAGGGCCCTGTCTCATAGAGCTCACATCAGGAAGGCACACAAGTGCCAGATCACTTGGGTCCTCAAGACCAAGTTAAAGATTGTTGACTTCAGACATAACAGGAATGCATAGAGGAATAACCAAGACAGTGCTGTGACCCAATTTGCATTTGTAAAATCTCTCTGGCTGTTGTGTGGGGATGGATGAGAGGGGGTTAGAGGAGAATGAGAGATGCAGAAAGGAGACAATTTAAATCCAGGTAAGAGATGGTGGTGGTCTGGACTAGGCGATGGAGAGAGGTAGATGATTTTAAGATGCATTTTTTAAATAGGATGGATAAGCGTTGGTATCACATACCAATGGTGACTTCCATATTCCTGAACTCAAAAAACAGGAGGATTGAGGCAATAGTTCTGAATCTCAGGGGAAAATATAAGGTAATGTGGTCTTCACATGTCCCTAGGAATGTGCCACCTCCATCCTCTTCCTCTGGAGTGATGGTCATTTTCCTGTCCTTGTACTTACCTTTGGCTGCCACTAGTTACCAGCGTGCTCATTTCCTTCTAAATCTAACTCTAAAGTCTGTTCTTTAACCCTCCCATATGCTTTGAACTGTTTGCTAACTTTGAGCTATTCAGGGTGTTCTACACTTTATCTTCATTTCTTTACATATCATTGCTACACTGTCTTATTGTTAGCAAACATGAATTGTCAAATGGAAATAAGCAAGGTGACTCGTTGGTGGTACAATTCTTTATAACTTTGGTTGTGATTTCTTTGACTTTACAGATCAAGTTAGGAGAATGGGTATATTGACTCTTCAGTGCGTGAGCATGGCTTATTTTTTCACTTATTTAAGACTTCATTTCTCTCAGCAATATTCTGTAGTTCTCATATTTTATTTTTCTAAAATTTTCCTTTGTGTCACATTTTGAATGCTATTGTTAAATTTATTTTAAAATGTTTTAATTTTATTTTATTAATTTTATTTTTACTTCATTAGCTACTATATAGAAATACAATTGATTTTTGTATATTGGCCTTGTGTCCTGTGATCTTGCTGACTTCATTAATTAATTTATGAGAGTTTTTGTAGATTCCATAGGGGCTGTTTTCTTTGTTTTTTAGAATTTTATAATATACATTAGACATTTATGTAAGTTAAGAGGTATTCCATTTTTCAAATAAATTTCCTCTAGCTCCTGTCTTCGCTATCTTCTCCAGAGCAGTAAGCAGTAATTACTACTCTTGTAGATGAGCTGCTCCATTGTGTTGGGCAGTGATTATAACTTTATGTTTAAAGTCATTATCATCTCCCCAAACTCATTTCACCACACAGTCTCACTGCACTGTTTCACAGTAAAAACATGCTCTGCTCAAATTTGAAGCACCTACTGAAAAGCTAGAGGCCCCAAAGATGTTTGGGTGCTGACTTAGTAAGTGTTGACTGGCACCAAGGTCTATTTGTTCAATTACTAAAACTACAATAATCGAAATGCAAGCTAACTTATTGGAAAAGGAACTTGGGAATGAGATCATTAAATATAACTAATATATTGTAGATACAAATACCATGTATTTCCTGATCAGTATCAGGTAAATATCTAAACTATCCAATATCTGGTCTAAGGGGAAAAGGTCAGAGACTCTCGGGTCCATTGTGAAAACCTGAGGTCCTCTGGGACAGTCACTTTAGTCTTTTTCTCAGAGTCTTCCGTTGGTCCTTTTTTTGGTACCCATCTGTGTCTGCATCTTTAGAGTCTACTTTGCCTTTGCTTTTATCATTGGATTGGTGGGTAGCTTTTCTAGGCCACTACGCCACCTACAACTGACAAATGGGGAGACCACAGGGTACGTACATGGTGCCAGGAACTTTTTGTAGACCCAGAACAGAGCTGGAATGAGGATGTACAGAAACGCACACCATTGCCTCAGGCTGGAGCTCCTGAATGGGAAAGCCCAGGACAGGAGAGCAGTAACCGGGCTGGGCTCCTTGTGCGTGGTCAGGCTGGAGCCTGCAGAGCAGCCGACAGTGCCCAGGCCCCAACTTCCTCCCCCGCCTCACTCACCACCCTTCCGCCCCCTACCAAAAGCCTGAGATAAACTGGGTCCATAGGGTTTCTGCGTACAAACTTTTTAAAAAATATTTTTTAAATTATTGATTTCAGAGAGGAAGGGAGAGGGAGAGAGAGATAGAAACATCAATGATGAGAGAGAATCACTGATTGGCTGCCTCCTGCATGCCTCCACTAGGAATCAAGCCCATAACCCGGGCATGTGCCCTTGACCAGAATCGAACCTGGGACCCTTCAGTCGCAGGCCAATGCTCTATCCACTGAGCCAAACCCGCTAGGGCTCTACTTACATTCTTTTATCATCTGCAAATAAAAAGTTTTACTACTTTTATTCCAACACTTTAACTTTCCACTTTTTATTTATTTTTCTGGCCTATTATACTGACTTCCAGAACAGTATTGAGTAGAAATTATGAGAGCAGACATCTGTGCCTTTTCCCATATGTTAGGAAAACATGTTCAATGATTCATCATTAAAAATGATGATGTTAGCTCTGAGTTTTTTCATGCATATTATTTATCAGACTAAGTTCCCTTATAATTCATAGTTTCTTGGGACTTTTTAACCAAATGTTGAATTTTATCAAATTTTCTTTTATTTGTTGAGAGATAGTCCCATGTGATTTTTCTCATTTATTCTGAAAATGTGAATTACATTGGATGATTTTGAATGTTTAAACCAAATTGACCTAAACCCCTTGGTCATGAAATGTTATTCTTTTTATATCTGTATTTATGAGAGATATTGAGCTTTAAATTTAAATATGCTTGGCAGCTGTGGTATCAGCATGATGTTAGAGTCATATACCAAGCTAAGAGTGTTTCTACACCCTCTATTTTTTAAGAGTTTGTATTTCTTCCTTAAGTGACTGGTAGAGTTCACCAGTGCAGCCATCTGAACTTGGAGGTTCTTTTTCATGTGCATGAAGGATTTTTATTAAGAATACTACTCCTTTAATGGCTATTTGGATTTTCTATTTCTACTTTTGTGTTTTGATAAGCACTATTTTTCAAGAAATTTGTTCTTTTCATCCTGCTTGTCAACTTTTTTGGCACAAGGTTTTTTTGTTTTGTTTTAACATATTCCTTTATTAACCTTTTAATATCTGTAGCTTCTGTAGTAATCTTCCCTCTTTCATCCTTGAAATTGACAATTTGTCTTATTAAAAATCTGGGTAAATCTTGCTGTAGATTGGTAAATTTTATTAATCTTTTCAAAGGTCCAACTTTTGGCTCTGTGATTTTCTTTTAAAATATATATATTGATTTCAGAGAGAAAGAGAGAGGGAGAGATAGAAACATTAAAGATGACAGAGAATCATTGGTCGGCTGCCTCCTGCATGTCCCACACTGAAGATCAAGCCCACAACCTGGCATGTGCCCTGACAAGTAATCAAACTGTGACCTCCTGATTCATAGGTCAATGTTCAACCACTGAGCCACTCCAGCTGGGCTTGGCTTTGTTGATTTTCTTGATTGCCCATATTATATTGTATTGATTTCTGTTCTTATTTTCTTTCTTTCATTTACTTTAGTTTTAATGTGCTCTTTTCCCCTAGCTTCTTAAATAGAATCTT